TTTTTTAAAATCCAAGTGCTTAAAAGTTCTGTTGCTCTTCAGAAGGTGGGGTGCGAGTGGGAGGGGAAACACATTTCTCTCTTTGTAGAACTCTGAAGAAGTTCTCCTAACTATATACTACTCATCCCACCAGAGAATGGGTCATGGCTCAAGGCTAAGATTATTAGTGAAATGTTCTCTGTCAAGAAGAAAGAAAAAGAAGTTGTGAGGTTTTGGGTGTGTTTGTTTACTTGACTAAGATTCTATCTAGGTCATTAATAAAAAGCAATGGTGGCATGAGTGCCTTAAACACATGTGTAACCACAGAGTTAGGGTTCGAGGAAACCAGCTGGCCACATGTCAGAGCGGCAGGGCTCACATGGCTGAACCAAAGCTGCAGCAGTGGTTGTGGGTTGGTCAAGAGTCCTCCTTCCCTCTTTCATTTGGTCCCTGTAAGTTCTCAACATCTGTGGGGACGTTTTAGAGATTGGATAGACACCCTAGCTGAGAATGGCGATTTGGGGGTTTATTATGGATGCTACCTGTGGATTTCAGGAGTAAGTTCAGTAGTTACTATTTGTTGGCTTTAAATTATGGACTCTAATAAATATGTGGATCTCATCATTACTTATATTCTTATTTATCCCTTCAAACCTCCTGTGCAATTCTTATATTTGACTTATTCTCATCCCAAAGATTGAAGGCATACTCAGATTTTCTGGGTGAGTGAACTGAAATGAAGATACACTCACATGGTTGTTTTAGGATTCTGGCCCACATTTTTTAAAGCCTCCCACCTAGCATTCTTTTCAAAAACTGCTTTATTTATTTCCACAGTTTCTGCCTAGTCTCATATTAAGAGCATCCTAATGCCTCAGAAATTAGGCCTATTAAATCACCTCCTTAATATATTTCATATGATAACATTGCACACAAGACTAATTTAATTTTTGTATGATATTGTGCACTATATATCTGCACATAACATAATTTAATTTTCCTATGATATTGTGCACTATATATCTGCACATAACACCATTCATTTAGTCAGTTCTATATTTAAAAATCATCCATCATTAATTATTTGAAGCAGTTATTACAAATGCTGTATCCCCCTTATGTGACAAAACGTGTTAAAAACTTGGATCCTAAATGATCCATAGTCCCAGATACTTTAAGACACATGTGATTTTATATTATGATAAGTTGCATAATAGCACTTTGTGTCATACCAAGGTAATCTTTCAGTTTTTGTATTCACAGCAGTTCTGTTTCTGACACTAACTTTTTAAAAATATCCCAACCTGATGTGTATAGCTCAAGGGATAAAATTGTCCCATGGGCAGCCCCAGCCTCCTAGGCCCTGAACATTGTTCAGGTGACATGATTGATCTCTGTGGGACAGCATTAGAGACCACACAGGTCTGGTTTCTCTCCCATTAGCTGATTTATGGAATTACATTAGTAAGCAGGGCCTCAGGAGATTTCCCTGCCCCCACTCCTGCCTCTGCTGTGAGTTACACACACAGTCACTACCCAGGTTTCCCTTGTGTTGGTGGAGGGACTTGAAAGGGACACATTAGAATGAAGAGACTGGGGACGGGACAGTCAGAAAAAAGGACAATCCCATTCTCCTTCTTATTTCTCTTTAAAATTTATCTGCTGAATGTACAGGCCAACAATAACTTCCCATAAGTTAGGTTGAACTTCTAAGGGGTTTGGTGGAAAACATCCAGATATTGCCCCCAACTTGATAACTGAGAGTGTTTTTTTTGGGGGGTGGGGTGGAGGGGGAAGGACACATTTCGTATGTAGGCTATGTTTTAAGAGCCCCAACCACATAAATGGCAATTGGAAAATTCTGGACCAAGCATTGTCTGCAGTTTGAACAGGAAGATGGCACTTACCTCCTGGAGAAATTCATCTGATGATCATAGTAAAAGAAGTGTGTCACTCACACTCAGAGTCTGTGTAGTTAAATAATAAAAGAGTTGATAATTGAACATGCCATAAGTTTTTGAAGTTTGGTGACTTAAACATTTTTATAGGTAAAATACAAATGTTTTCTATCTTAAGTTGAAACATCTAGTCGTTTGTCATTTAGATCATAATTTAAAAAGGAGGTTTCACTGTTCAGTTTAAAGAATCAAAAACATACCTGTATGAAAATATAAATTTGTGCTTTAATCTCAAAATGCAAATATATAACTATCAAAGGGAAAGGAAAACTTTTCAATATACTTAAACAAAATAATAGTATAGTAACACTAGAATGTAATACAGAAATAAGACACTGAATTTCATATGGGATAAGAAAAAAGCACAGAAAAGGTCAGCTTGGACTAAAGTAACAAAATAAATATAGTGGCAGCCAAGGTATGACTGTAATACAACTTCAATGAAATTCTCTTCCCATCGCCAGGTTTAATATAAGGTAGTCAACGTTGTTTTTAAAGAACCATACATTTTTGATAATTGCTAAATGAAAATACCTCCACCTATCCAAATATCATGTAAATTATAAGCAATATTTTGAATGTTAATTAAGAATAGTAAAATAAAAGCACTTAAAATTCATTTTTAAATGATCCTATAAGAATGTTTGAAATTTAGTCATCACCAGACAAAATGCAATCAGAAAGCCAATCAGAACAATAAACAACAACAAACTGTAGACTTTAATCAGATAAAAACATTTGGATGTTTTAAGTAAGAATGGAAATTGTAGCTTAAGATGAGGGAAATAAAAGTTTCTTGATTTTTATGAGTAGATTACTGTATTGTTGCATATTTTGCTTAGTCTTAGCCAACTGTTTTCATGGGTGAAAAGTTAAAAGTTTTGTATAGCCAGACTTACAGACTGGACAATTAATAACAATAGTCTGTAAGACTAAATATTGAAAAGTGTCCAAAAAAACGGGCATTTCATCCATGTTTGCTGTGGTTTACCAGTTTGGAGATGCATGTTGGGGTGACCCTGGAAACACTGGTAGAATATTCGTTATGGTTACAGAAGTAAAACATAAAACCATTTGAGTATTCCCCAGAAACAAGTCATAGTGTTTCATAAACTGTTCTGAAATAATTGGTCCTCTTAGAACATTACCATTCAACCTCAATAGG